TCAGAGTCAAAAATAATGTAGCCTCTTTGCTTTTAGGCAAAAGTAATCCCATTGCAGTGTATCTCCAGAAATTTTTTGCTTTTTTCTGACTATTTCATAATAAGCCACCGAGTAATAACTTGTGTAGGGCATAAAATTCAAAATCTTAGCCAAATGACTCTATTAGATAAACAGAACTAGGAAAGGAATGCAGCTTAAGCACAACTCTATAATAGAAGTAGCAGTAACAATTACATGCATAATTCTAAGCAGTAATTTTTCAAGACCATGGAAGTGTTCCTGTGCTTAGCTTCCTAGGAAGGTAATGAATCCAGGAACATTTCAAGGTTGCTATCCAAGGAAACCAAGATTAATTGCTATGACAATGTTTTTTTAATCTGCAATTAAGGCTAAAAAAAAATAGATCTCCAGATGTTGTGAAACTCCAGCTTCCAACTTCCCTGACCAATATGGCAAATAACAAGGGACTGAGGGCATTGTGCTACTCTATTTCTGCTATACCTGCTCTATGTAACGCAAAGGAACTTCTCACTAGATATAAGCAGATATGCTTAGTGTTGTTATGACTCAGTCACTATACCTCATTTTCAGGGATAAATAAATTAAAGCATTTGCTTTAATCCAATGAATTCATAATCAATTGCAAGGAATGGTATGTGCATGAACATATGTAATCAAAAAGGTGTGATTACAACCTTTGAAGGTTCTGCACACAACTTCTAATAAATTTTAAAGGTCAATAAGCAGCTCCTGCAAAGCCCAAGCTCTCCTTTTTAATTTCCATATCAGTATTTCTTTTAACCACTTCCATTCCAGATGCTCATAGTTACTCTGAATTCCTTATGCCTTTATTCCATATGCAGTTTGTATCTGAGGAATAGAACTTCCTTATCCAGCATATCCACTCAATTCATTATTAATGCAACAGGTTTGCCACCATCAGGTGTTTTGTTTTTTTTACAAACTTTTTTTTTTACAAACTTCCCATTAACTGGAAATCTGTAGGTTTTGTCATTTCCATGGTTAGTGGCTGAAGTTAAACTACAAGGGCCACAGTAATCTAATTTAGATTGAAGCTATCTGGATTTTGTACTCCATTTAGATGTAGAAAGACTGATAGGTAGTCCTCCACTTATGACCATAACTGAGCTTCAGTTAAGGTTGTAAGTCATGGTGGTCATTAAGCAGGTCATCACATATTTGCATCCAATTTTACAACCTTTTCCATGACAGTCATGAAATCAATCACCATGGTGATTAAGCGAACGCCAAGGTCACTAAGGTCAATAAATGAGTACCACAATCATTAAGCAAATCCATTGGCTACAATGAATAATTGTAAACATTGGTTTCTGACAAAAAAAAAACCCATTATCAATCGTGGTCACATGACTGTAGGATGCTTCAAACAGCTTTAAATGCCGGCCAGAGTACTCAATAGCACTTAGACTTATATACCACTTCACAGCCCTCTTTCAGCAGTTTACAGTCAGCACATGGCCCCCAACAATCTGGGTCCTCATTTTAGTAACCTCGGAAGGATGGAAGGCTGAGTCAACCTTGAGCCGGTGAGAATCGAACTGCTGACAATCAGCAGAATTAGCCCGTAATACTGCATTCTAACCACTGTGCCAGCACAGCTACGATCAAGTGACTGGGGGGGGGGAGAGAATCAAAACTTTAAATTCAGGTCGTAAATAGCCATGGGGAGCTTTGTCATAATTTTATTATAAGTTGAGGACTACCTGATGTAAGGGAATATAACCCAGTGTCACAGGAGAGATGGGCTCTTTTCCAGAGATTAAAGAGACAACATAGCTTGGAATCCTGTATGCAAGAAAAAGAAGAAGGCAGACACCCCCCCCAGCAGTTCAATGTGTGTATCTAATAATTACGCAGGTAAGTCTGCCAAGGTTTCTATCTATGGGTGAACAATAATAAATTCCTCATATTGTCATCAGTTCCCTGGGCCTGACACTGTACAAGAAAAGCTAGAATTCTTTAAAAGCATTAAAAAGACAAATTCATGTTGCACAATAAGAAGAGTCATGAATTCACTGGTATGCCTTCCCCATTCAGTCATGAAGCTTTCTAAATAATCTTGTATCAATCATAAAAACAGAATTTGTGCTACAGACCTATTTGATTTTACCAACTTACGAGGCTGCAAAAAGCCAAATGATCACTAGAAGGCAACAAAATGTTACAGGTTTTCTGCATCTCTTCACCATAAGCTAGTGGCTTTCATGTATGTTTAAAAAACAGAGTTTCTTCAGGAGATCCTGAGAACTGCAATATGGGAACAGTGCTAGGAATCTCTGTGAGAGACCTAGATTGGTTTGTTACCGAAACAACTAATAAACAACTAATCTAAAGCTGAAGTCCTAGAGATTTTATCTCACTGAACACATAGCCTATTTCTGAATATAATGGAACACATAAAATTGTGGTGATTCTCTATTGCTTAAACAAGGCCAACATCTTAATCTTTGTTCTATCAGGAAGCCAATCAAATCCAACAAGATTGGTAGTTGCAGCTTCTTGATCCTGGGCCAACCCTTTTGTGTATACATGGGAGACTGATGTGTGTACAAAGAAAGAGGGACTTGCATTATGAAACTGCTTCCTCTGTCTAGTTCCTTTTGATCTCTCCCATCTGTGAAAGCTGCAGTAGGAGAGTTACTGAGAAAATAACTAGGATCCAAAAAAGAAGGGCACCATAAAAGTTTGACAAAAAAAATTAAGAACATAAATACCCACAATATTCACAACCACATTTGCAACAATAGACATACTTTTTACTGACCTGGAGACATTGTTTTAAGGAAATGTATTCAAGCTTTTTAAAAATTTTGCTTGTTTTGTTTCCAGGAATTACATTTATCAGTGAATGGAATCCTTCAGCAATGCCAATCCACCAATGTCACCACAACCATTGAAGAGATACAGGAGTCACAACTTCTTTAGAGTTCAATGGTCACTTTATGATCCCTTTCATTGTCACAATTCTCAAATGAATGTAAATAGTGAACAGGTGGGTCTCTGAAGCTTAATTAAAACTCAAGATTTGAATATATCACAAATTTGCATTTGTCCTTTGAATAGATATACAGTGCAAACAACAATAGAAGAACAACAACACAGCTATGTATTACTGTAACTGAATAATCAGAAAATAAAATAAATGAAGCCCTGAGAAATAATTAGTATTGCTACTCCCTTATCTGGATGTATTTGGACAAATAAATGTACATCTTAAGTTCATAAGCAAATACATATTGTATGATTCTTACTGAAAGTAATGATTCGTTGTGCAAATCTAAATCAGTTAAACTCTGCTGGTTAATGACCACAATAAAGTTATTTCAATTTGAAATCAGTTAAAGCTTTAAAAATATGTGATTTAACCTCTTTGAAACAAGTGATTTTCTTAAATTTTCCCCAAAGTTATTACTCAGTATTTGAAACAATATATAAAATGATAATTTAAAAGTGTGTATACTGTGTAACATCAAGCATTTTATTCTATCAAATCAAATGCACCATTTCTTTTAAATATATCACCACGTAGTTTTTTTTTTTTTTATTCCACGATGTGTCAAACTGCGGGCCGGATGCATCACCAGGAAACCGCGCCTACCCCATTGCCGGCAATGGGGAAAAAGCTCTGACACGTCGCACGACGTCATGTGACGTTGTGAGTTTGACATGTCTGGTATAGATCAACAAAATCCACAGTGGAAAATACTTATTATTGCTTAATTTGTTTGAGGTTTACGTATGTATGCAAGGGGTAAAAGTTGCCCTTAGAATGACAGTCACATTTTGTATATAATGTGATTGGATTTTTAATATCAATCCAGTATTTAAATTCTGATTTGACAACTGGGCACATTCTTCACTGTTCTCAGATTGTCAATAGCCCTGTGCAATACTTTGAATTTTATTCCAGAAAGATGCTTTGGACCATACAGGGGCATGAACATAGCACCTATCTCAGATTCTTTTTCTGAGAACAGTAGGAGAGGTAATCTTCCAACACACTGTTGGAATAAAATCCAATGTACTATACAGCCCAAATTTTCAGGAACATTCACTGCCAAATTTATAATGAGGATATGTGGAGTAAGCTATCCTTACACATTACACATGCATATATTCAAAACTATATTATTTTGAAATACATATAATGCTGTATTTCAACACTGCTTTGGAACAATTCACTCATAATCTGAAGTGTAATAGAGAACGTAGGAAATAGAGAGAGCACTGACAAATTCTATAAATGAATTCAGTGAAAAGTAATCAATATATAAGGAGGGAAGAAATATGAATCACCATTCATTGGAAATAGTAAAATATGCATATTCAGCATGCGTTCTTACATACAGTACTTCATTTTTAAACTTGAAAACAATCACAGTTACAGACATACAACTCAATTCTCCCAGAAGTGGAATTCTTTCCTCCTTCCTTTCTGTTGTGTACTAAACTGAAATATTAAACCATAAACAAGATCTCTTTGGAAACCCCCACATGAAGAGAATTTTATTTACATCACTTCAGCAATTCAGTAATTTAGCAATATGCAAACAGAAACCTGCTTACACACCAATCCAGAGCTATTTTTAAAGGAAAGTAAAGTGTATTGCTGGTGTGGAAGGGGCTATTCCTTTAATGCGGTGTTTATCCACCTTGGCAACTTGAAGATGTGTCGTCTTCACTTCCAGGAACACCACAGCTAGCCTGCATCTTCAACTTGCAAAGGCTGAGAAACGCTGTTCTAATCTCTGGCTAGGATAACAGTCCCTTGTGTCCTATCTTAATTTCCTAGAATGGGTGGGTTGATACATCAATAAAAGACACATTCAAGAGGTCTAGGAAAGAAGCACCACACACTTTGTAGGCATTTAAGAGCCTTCAGTGAGTATCCCAACCCTCATGGGAAGCTGGCTTTCAAAACTTGTTTTGAAACAAATGCAAGAAAGAAACTACTTTACCATCTTTACGATAATAGGTAACGTCCACTTTTCTCTCCTCCGATCCAAGCAGTGCCTGGGCAATTTGAGCAATGTGGTGTCTTTTGGTTTCTGGTCCATGAAGAAAGTCACAGGTGCAGGGTTTTTGCATGATATCTGGCCGGGAGAAGCCCGTCATCTCACAGAAGCCATCATTGCAGTAGATGATCGCACAGTTCTGCACTCTAGCATTAGCAATGATGAATTTTTTATCTGCAATAAAACAACAAGGCATTTTTCAAGAATCTTATGGTATCTCAAAAGGCTCAGGTGTCTGTCTAGAGAAGAGCTGTTGCTGCATCTAATTTCTACATACGGTGAGCTTTAGAAGATGCTCAATACCACTTTTAAAGCTCTTTAAAAGTGACTCAATGGAATACAGAAGAATTAAAACTCAAAATCAGCTGACTTCGAGAGGGAAATCCATTCTACTGTAGGAAGCTGCTTGCAAAACTTTGTCTGGGTGAAAAGCTTAATACTGGCTTACTGTTCTATTGAAAAGGCTTTTCCTTTGTGCTGAGTACTGCTTGTCCAAGCTCCTGAAAGAGGCTTCATTTCTGAGGGCCTGAACTTTAATGAAAGCTTTGTAATAGGCTTTTGGACTGAAAAAAAAAAAAAAAGAACAGAGGAAAGTTAAGATAATATCACTGGGCTTGCAAACAATTCTGCAAACATATTTAACAGGTTAAAAACTAGCTTTTCCACCACCACGGTGGATGTTAGTTTTGCTAAATATTTGCAGAAGCGCCCTATTCGAAAGAAAAAGGCTAGCACGTATCTTGTCTTTACAAAAAAAGTTCTCAAAAACAGAAGTCCACTCATTAAAAGATGAGTTGTAGTGGTAGGACTGTTGGCCATCCAGCCCCAGATCTCTCCAGGGCATACATATGACTTAAGCCCCTCCAAAGGACACTGCAGCATTATAGTCCTTAATGTAACAGAAAGGAGAAATGATGAGATAGTACAGCAAAACCAAGCTGCCTTTATTAAACTGTGGTGAAATGAAATGAAAATGCAGTGTTGTCCTCTAAGCCCCCTTGTTTCTTTTTTATACTCCTGCCTAATTTGGGAAATCCAGCTCCTGGCACCTATCTAGCCTTTGTCAAAATAAGTAGCACATCAATTTTCTAAGGTCTATTAACATGGATATTATTTCCTACGCCTTACTACCTGGTCATTTTAACAGGAGATGCCATGGATAAGAGACCTTTGCATGCAACACAGATGTTCTGAATATGAAGCTTATTTGGCACAGGAACACCCTACTTGAGGTGCTAAATAGAGAGAAACCTGAGAGCAGAGGTTAACCTAGGGCACTGTACTGTAAGAAGGAAAACAATTTTGGGGGAAGCGGGCTACCTGAGGCACTCCAGCACTATTCTGCAAGAGCAGGTTGATTTTAATGCTCTTGACTGCCCTGTAAAATGATGCTCTAAACAAGACTGTGGGATTCTAGTTTTCACAAAATCCAAGTGAAAGAATTTAATTATACAACACATCTAATCCTGACTGTATAAAGCAAGATACTTTGACTGGACCGATTTTCATTCTCATATGCAGAAGTAATCCAACAGAATTGCAGAAACATGTGGTTTTAGATGATTATAGGAGAGTAGAGGGGGGGGGCAAATTATAGCCTCAATTATTAATTTACAGCTTAAAGATATTAACGTACTCTAACCAATCATTTTACTTGAAATACTCACCCATGTATTCTCTCTACAGAAGCTGCACTGCCTGCTCAGCTTTGCTGAGCCTGTTGTTTTCAATGACAGGCACAACCTTGAAGCCACATCTGTCATAACATTAAGGATCAAGGCACAAGATATTTGCCAAACTTCTTTTCCAAGCTTCATCAGAGCTATCACATGGCAGAAGTGCACATGAGCTATCCAAGGGCTAAACCTATTTACACTTGAAGACACAGTGAGAAGTCTGCAAGGCAGTGCGCATCTGTTTTGATTTCTCTCAATCTCATTCACATATTTTGAAATGTTTCTCATGCATGTCATCTTCCAAAGAGAGGACTCTAATTACTGACAAGTTCTCTTTGCAGCAGCCATAACTTATGTTACTCAATGGCCTTGTGATGTACTTCCCAAGGGACAGATGCCAAGTCCATTAACTTTGGTAGGTTCCTTCCATCCAGAAAAGTTGCACAATCTGATTTTTACAGGGTAGGAATCTATTACCTTGAGTTCCACAGGATCGTTATAGAATTGTTAGCTATCTACCTATATTCTTCTTAGGCTAGTTCCGATGTATCTAGAATTTATTATCTCATTGCATTCCAAAGATACGTTTCCATTTTCCTGTTTTTAGGGAATTGAGACCAAATATGTGACAATAACTGAAAGATTAAATTTGTAATCCTCTACACTTATCTAAAAGTAAATCCTTATGATTACAGAAACACTTATTTACAGCGTTGCATTAACCCATCTTGCAACTCTAACCCTATTTTCAGAACAAACATTCCTGAAATGCTTAAAATAAAAGCTCATGCAAGCCACCATAGTTTATACTCAATATTAGACAACTTTCCAAAGGGGACTGTACTCATAATTTATTGCCGTTTTACAACAATTTTAATGTTTCATTATGACAGCTGACAAAATTTTTTACTATGGTAAAATGTTAAGTGTTTACGATCCCACAGAGCTCTTGATGCCTTCTGGCTAACTAAAGGAACCATCACATCTGTCGGACTATAAGGATTTTACAGCTCACCCAGAAAAATCCTAATTCATCCCAGTCCACAGCCCATCTTAAAAAGGGCCTGCAAGAAACTTTTTCACAAAGTCATGTCAAACAAGTACCTCCAGGCAACAAAAGGTCAAGGTTTAAACTTCCAAGCAGAAAACAGCACACAACTTTCTGGCTGCCCTTCCAGGACTTTAGGCCAGCCAAAGCACCCCCCCATCCCCCCCTCCCCAGATTGGGAACATGCATAAACAGGCATTTACGTTTCGTGGCGGCCCGTTTGTGCCGAGGAAGGAAAGAGGACAATTTACCAACCCCATGTCAAGGCAAGCCGCCCTAGGACGGGAAGGAAAGCTCCCCCGATCGCCGTCTCGGGAGACGGCTCAGCCACCCAGAGAAGCCAGGAGCAACCCCTGCCAAACCCGATCGCTTTTGAGCTTAAACTTGTCTTCTTTCCCCGACGCCACGAGCACCCGCACCGGCGAGCCCCCCCCCCCCGTCCTCCGACCCCAGGGAAACATTCCCGGGTCGCGAACTTACTTTGCCCTTCGAATTTCCGGATGATGGTCCCCAAAAAGGTGTTTTGTGGCGCCACGTGACCTCTGCGAACTGGCATGTTGCTGGATCTCCACCTCCCCGGGCGCGACGCCTCTCCTCCTCGGCTTGCCGGCTCGCTCTCGCTCGTCCCCCTCTTGCTCTCGCTCTCCCCTCCGGCTACCCTTTGCGAGATCTCATCGCTCAGGGGCCGCCGGGCAGGCTCGCTTGTGATCCTAGCAGCGCCGCCGAGCGCGGACAGCCTCCCGCCCTCCCGGAGCCTGCTCCATGCTCAGGTTCTGCATCGGGGTCCGACCTGATCCGCTCGCTTTCCCGCCGCCGCCCCCCCCCCCTCGAGAGGGAAAAGAAACGGTGGCCCGAGACGGCGGGGAACCTGGCTGAGGAATCCGCCCAAGGTGAGGGCTCGCCGCGCCTCCGCTTCTCCTCCCGCGAAACGCAAGACCTCGCCCAGTTCTCCCCCTCCCGGCGCGAGCTATGGCCGGGCGCCGAGGCGGGAAGGCTGAGGCGCTGCCGTGTGCTCGCCTAGCGAGAGGGAGTGACGTCCCTCCCCGTGCGGTTACGGCAGCTCGGTTACTCAAGCATGGCTCAGCGGCAGCCAGCCCGTAAATCTCCCCCGGAGACGGGCGACGATGAGCAGCAACTCCGGCGGCAGCGCGGAGCTACGACCCTGCCACGCGCAGCCACATCCCGAGGACGCCGTCGCCGCTGCTGAGACGAGGCGAAGCCAAGCAGGAGGGGAGGAGCAAAAGTGCCAAACTAAGACAGGTCGGGGCAGCGCGGCCAAGATCCTGGGTGGCGGCTGCGGGCAAAAGCTGTTCGCGCCTTCTCTCTCCACACCTCCCCCCCCCTCGCTTTCCCAGCGCTGAGAGGGTGAGCCCAGGAAAAATCCAAGGCAGCCGCCCAGCCGTGGCAAAACGGGCGTGCCGCCGGTGAAGTGAATAAAGAAAAAGCCGTCAAGTATATACATTCACATCGTCTGTCCCACTTTGGTTTTGTGATCTTCATAAAGAGCCCCCCCCCCGTCTCTCTCCCTCCCTTCCTCTTCTGGAGTTTTATCCTGAGTCTTAGCCTCAGCACTATGCAGAGAGGAGGCCAAGGGCATTGATTCTGTTCAGAGTCAATTCAGTTCAGTACTCTTTTCCAGTGCTGAAGAAGCATAGCTCTTCTTAAGAAGGGCCATGTAGGAAAGCCTTGGCCTGCTGAACCTTGGGGGGGGGGGGGCAGCCATTTGGGTGATGCATGAGAATGAAATAATGATGGGGAAAAAAAGCTTGGTTTTGCCTGTGGGACAGGGCAAAAGGCTTGACCAAGAAGTTTAAAGTTGAATCTCTTGTGTTCTGATCTCCCCTCACTAGGCAGCATTTAGTGAATCCTGAAGTGTAAAAGACATATGGATAAGATAACCTTTATTGTCATTTTCGTACTGTGGGCACAACGGCACACATCAAAAATGAAATTTAGTTGTCCGCTCTCAAAGTGAAACACATACATGACACACACCTAAACATACTATATACAACATATGTATAGACCCACACCCCTACATATACATAACAAATATTAAATATTGTCCATCTTGAATATATAACGGAAGGAGGAAGCTTGAGAGCTCATAAGGTTAATGCTGTGTGGAATGAAACTATGGCTGAATCTGGATGTTCTGCTATGGATACTACGAAGCCTCCTTCCAGAAAGTAACAAGGAAAACAGGTCATGAAGAGGATGTGTAGTGTCCCAGATAATCTTATGGACCTTGCTCAAGCAACGCTTCTGTGCTATGTCCTGGATGGGAGGGAGGGAACTGCTGATGATCTTTTTGGCCATCCTCACCACTCTCTGCACCGCCTTCCTGTCTGAAGCAGTGATGCTTCCAAACCAGACTGTGATGCTGTATGACAGGATGCTCTTGATCGTCCCCCTGTAGAAAGTGGTAAGGATAGGAGAAGGAAAATGTGGTTTTCTCATAGTGGTGAGATAACTTCAGTCTGAAATTAGGGAACTACAGCTTCCAATATCATTCAGTATAGTCTATGGTGGATGAGGTGATTGGCAGTTGCAGTTCATCAACATCTGGAGAACTACAACTTCCCCATCCCTCCTTTCTCTACACACCGTTTGCTGTTTTTGTTTGATGATTTGTACATAAGGTTTAATACTAGTGGTCTCCCACTATACAAATAAATAAAAATTAGGTGGATTTCATGATTTTGCTGTTCTTTGGTTCCCTTTCTTTCTTTGATCCTATTCCTCTTCTTTCTAAAAGGTATTTTCCCTGTATGAGAAAACATTAGGATGATTAATCTCCCAGTAGAGTGAATATAAAGTGAGTGGAAGGTAAGAGATTGAGGAAGCTTCTGGGAACAAAGAGAAAATAAATATGTTACAAAGTGTTACAGAAGTGTGTGGAGTTAGTCTAATAGAAAGTATAAAAAGAACATGTGATGCAAAAAAGCAATTTGTTTATCCATTTCCATGATGCCTCAGTCACCAAAGTATTTCTAAGTAATACTGATGAAGTGAAAGAGGATGTGGATGACAAGAAGTGAATGTAAGAGAATAAGTGTGGTAAACAACTGAGGATAAGAGAAAAACATATAACGTGCATAGAACTAAAACAATAGCTGCAAAGTCTGTTAAGAAAATAATGAAAGGCTAAGATTAAAACAGAAAAGATGCAGTGATTTTGAGGGAAATTAAAAATGGTTGGAAGTAGGTGGAGAAGACCAAAGAACCTTCTGATGAAGGGCAAAATAGAAATAATGAAACAAATTGTGTTGAAAATGAAATGAGGGAATGTTTAGGGGGGATGGTTATATTTGTATAGGAATGATAGTGATGTGTTGAAAAGTGGAATTGAAATGAATGCTATGAATGTTATTGTGAAACAGAAGAAAAACAGAAAATGAAATGTATTCCTCATATTTCTTCATATTTTTTATAGTCGCCCACCTCATAGAACACGATTCTGTGAGAATGTTAAAAAAACCAAAAGGCTGCAGTGTAATTATATAATTGTACAATTTGAGAAATCTTGAAACATGTTTGTAATTTACTTATGGAGTGGAGGCTTGGCAAATCGCAAGTTACGTGAATATTTCATGTGTAGTTGATGATTGGATGAAGTCCTTTATTGTTCCCTTACCAAAAGGCAAACATAGCAACAATGAATGCACAAGCTATACAGGGGTTAGTGTAAGTGTGGGAAGTTGTTTGACCAAGTTCAAATTGGAAGGGTACAAGAGATGACAATGAGAAAAATTTAGGAAATGCAGTGTGGTTTTATAGGCAGATGTTGTTTTAATTTAATTTAATTTATTTTTATCCCACTTTTATTTTTATGAATAACTCAAGGTGAGGAACATACCTAATACTCCTTCCTCCTCCTATTTTTGCCACAACAACAACCCAGTGAATTGGACTGAGAGAGTATGACCCAGGTGACTTTCATGCCTACATGTGGGCCACGTTGTTATTCTTCAGTAGCTAATTGATTAATGATAAAAGTTTTTAACATACGTACCTTTCTCAGTGTATTGAATGATTGGTTGCTTAGATTTATATGCATACAAATCTAAGCAACCAATCATTCAATACACTGAGAAAGGTATGTATGTTAAAAACTTTATTGTACTGTACATATGTTGATTTAGAAAAAAAAACTTAGGATAATGTGAATAGTCTGAATTATGGGATTTTTCAAGTAAATTTGAAGTTGAAGTATGGTTGCTGAATGTGAAAATAATATACAATAGACGTAAAGTACATGTAGGACATAAATGGATTCCTTAGTGAATGGTTCAACATTGTACAAGGAGTAAGAGACCTATAACACCTGTTGTGATAGTAGAGATATGTTGGTTAGGAATATGGATGTGTGTGCCAGCTTTTTGACACCTGGGAACTGCATGGGCTAGTTCTTGCTTTTTTCTTGGCAATGTTTGTCAGAAGTGGTTTGTCATTGCCTGCTTCTTAGGGCTGAGAGAAAGTGACTGGCCAAAGGTCATCCAGTTGGCTTTGTGTGGTCTAGAACTCCTTTTAGCCTGATGACTTAATCACTACACCAAAGTAGCTCTATATTTAGAAGCAAATCATGTTAAATTCATCTGGAGTTGCTTTTTTTGTATGTACAGTAAAAAATTGATTGTAAAAAGTGCAACCATGCAATTTAAGCCAAGACGTGAAGTGGGTCCTACTATATTTAACCACAATCATTATAAAAAAAGAATTCTAAATATTTCTGGCCCAGCTGGGATGAAGAATGAAATATTTCTATTTCTATGTGTACATACTTTCATTTCCATGTTATTTTTTATCACAACAGGCTGTAGAGTCCTCAATGTGCCATGTTAAAATATGGCACCTAGTGAATTTATGACAGAGATGGAGCTGGTGCTTTGAAGTGGACTTACTGTCCCCCTATTATTATTATTATCTATAGTCTTGTTTTTTTGGGAAGGAAGGGGAGCCTGAAAAGACAATCTCTTTTGTTTTAAAGTAGCAAAAATGTATTTTGCAACTACTGTTTCCCCAAAAGTAAGCTCTACCCCATAGTTTGGGGGTGATGCACACACCTAAAAGTCAAGCTAGGGCGGGGGTGGGGGGTGGAGCTGCCCTATGTGCCCTGCACCCACTTACCTTGCAGCCAGGCCTCTCCTTGCCAGCCCACTTCTTCTGCGGCATCCCCGGGTCTGCATTTTGCAGTCAGAGGCCTTTCCAGAAGGCCACTGCAGCCGAGAACCTATTTATGGATTCAATCCATAGCTCAGTTCTGCAAGGACTCTGCAGCTGAGAACCGACCTATGGATTTAATCCATAGCTCGGTTCAGTGGCCTTCTGGAAAGGCCTTTGACTGCAAAATGCAGGCTGGAGCTCCATTCTCAGCTGCAGAATGAAACTGCTCCTTCAGCTGCGGAAGAAGTGGGCCAACTGGGTGGGGCTGTTGGTGCCAGTGGTGAGTGGAAAAGACACATACCCCCCCCCCCAAATAAGACCTGGTGCCTCTTTGGGGGGCAAAAAAACCCGAGTGGAAATGAACAAAAAGCCTATAGAAAAGCTCTGGGAATAGGAATGATCAGAGGAGCTATAGTTACATCCCAGAGTAGTGAAAGGGTGTTAGAGGAGGAGAGAGAGGAGGAGACGACAGAATGGAAATGAGAGGAAAGGAATTTATGACCCTCTCTAGATTTGAATTCTTTAAATTCAAATCAGCACATTGTATATTTCAGCAGATTCTCTTGCTAGTTGAAAGGCATACATATTCAGTTGCCCATCTCTGTGTGTGCGTGTGTGAGAGTGAATGAGAAAGAGAGAAATTGAGGAATGAGATCATGAAGCCAGATTCTGTAGATGCATGAATATTTAGTAACTGGGTGCTGAGGAAAGGGAAACTGGTTGAGATCTTGGGAAAGAGACAATATAGCAAAGCTAGGAGAGAGAGCCCCAATACAAATGGATATGTGGGAGAACTGCCAAGTGCTTTTTTTTCCAAAAAAAAAAAAAAAAAAAGGTGCCGGAACTCACACATATCATACCACCCACCTTGCCTACCCTGCAAGATTCCATCCAAAAAAGGTGCCGGAACTCCGTTCTGGGCATTATATGAGAAAAAAAGCCCTGGCCAAACCCATTCTTTTTGTTTCTCTGCCCTGTATTTGGGGACATTGCTGTTATTTTATTACCATAGCTTTCACAAACATAATCAAAAGGGCTCATTGAAAAACAACAAATAGTGCACTTCCAGATAGCAGTATCGTGGAGGGAAATAGGTAATATGGACAGTTGGTGAAAGAGCCCAACTCCTTGCTTTAATTCTCAGGTGTGCGCAAATACACGCCTCCCCAGGACATCCTTTGCCGTTCGTTGTCAATCTGGCATAATTTTCTGCTCGT